GGGAGTAGCATAATGTATGACAAGGGCACAGACCGAGAGTCCGTGGAGAATTAATAGTTAACATAAAAAAAGTCGCTGGCTAGAGTTAGTCTATAGTTCTATAGATAGGTATGTTAGTATTAGGTGCTGTCAGTGACGGATCGGGCAATAAATCAATTGACGAATTATATTGAGACATTGTTTCTCGTCTCATTTGCAGTTGTCGTGTTGTAGGTACACAAAACACCGCTAATTAGTTCGCAGCGCCACACATCGACACTACTATCTTTTACACAGTGTATGTAGGTACATCATGTCTAGTTGCTTCGGTTTTAATGTTGGAGAAAATTATGTTAAGTAAACAAAGGTCAATGTTAAACTTTTATAGTGTCTTCTGAATGTTAAATACTTTTAGAAAAGGTGGTTTCATATTTTGTAAAAGTCTTAAAGTCGTTTTGGTGCGTGTTTAGGGATTTACTGTAAAGTCTTAAATAATTTATGGAATTTGTTTGCAGCTAGGTATTCCTTTAATAGCTGCCAGTTCACAGCTCGATTGGTTAATTAATTAATAATTGATTATTTTATAAACACGAGCTAAGATTACATAATAAGGTACTATTATGATACTGTTACTGTCTTAGACATAACAATAATGAGAACGTTTTGTTTTGAAAAACTCTGAACTTGAATATAATACAGGTACCATCTGTTCCTATGAACTATAACTGTACTGCCTTAGAATAATTATTTTTATTCTTTATTCATTAACAACCTCTGTTAGTGTGAAAATGGGGAGGTTTCCTATAATCTGTACGGCTCCGGTTTATCAGACCGCTGATCTCTATTAAATATGTAGGTCCCTTTAAATGTCCAAATATACAAAGGTTACTCAATAATTAAAAATCGCGCTTAAGCATAGTTCTATCGCTACAAATCCTTTGTAAAATGAAAGAGATGATACGATATTTGAATAGGTACAACATAAAACCATTTCAGTACCTATTCGGGCGTTAGTTAACTCTTATGGCATCTGCTTGAAAGATCACGTGATTTCATGCATTCGTGTCGCTTAAATAGTTTAATGCACTGAGGAGTGAATCCTGCTGTTATAAGGATATCCATTGTGCTACAATCTTGCACTAATCAACAACGAGAACTATCTCGTATACACTATATATAAATATGAATAACTTCAAGTAAGTGAGGGTATTGAATTGATACAGGACAACCAAATATAACAACGTCTAGACTGTTCGACATTAAAAAATATATTGAGTTTCTCAATGTAATAAACAAAATAAGTAATGTTCAATCCATTTTTTACAGATTTAGGTCCAGATTCTAATTTAGATGCAAATATTTCTAAATTGAAGGTATTTGAAACCTGTAAAAGACATTTAACTCGTCGAGTACCGTCACTAATATATTCCTTTCTCTGCATAGGTCAAAGTCAAATAGATAAAAATAGGATATTGTATCGATAGTTCTCAAGATACGCACATAATTTTTAGATAATATAAACATATTACAAGACACGAGAAATATAACACACGCAATGCCTGAAGTAGGTACACGTGCATATCTAGAAATCTTATCCATCAGAATTGTTTGACACATTTTTAACTATAACTCTTTTGTTATAAGATCGATAATTGTCTATTGGACAGAAATTGTAGTAGGTCGATGTGCGAGCTATCTGTTATAATAGATAATAAGATTTGTTTAACAGGCAGTTGTCAGTAGCCTGTCAAACAATGGTCTCCTCTGAATCATGGTTACTCAAGATTTGTCAAAGCTATCATTGAAGGTAGAGGATTACCATATCTTATGGAGTATTCAGATATCTTCTGATTACGTCAGCATTTTGGCCTTCAGAATACTCCTCTTAGTTGTACACCTAACAGTTTCACTTGGAGTTTGTTCTTGGTTATGAATAAAAACAAAAAATAGTGCGGAGACTGTTTGTCGCTTTATTCCATAAAAAATTAGGTAATGTTGAACATAATGCCTATGCTTGGTAGTTGGTACTTATGGATTGCAAATATAAGTCACATAAAATCTAAATAGAGGATGCTACGGTTTGTACCCATCCCGCGCTATCTAGGTACAAAGTGCTTGTACAAAGTAATTTCAAAGTCAAAATCAAAGCATTTATTATAATTAAACCAAACAAGACATTTCAGTGAAGCACAGCGCTTGTTCCAAAAGTTAATTTTATGCCAATCAAACCTTCTAAAAAGTCGTTAAACTTTGATGTGGTTTCCCAAATCGTCACATGAGTTTGTCACTAACACAACACTTAGTTAGCATTGTTATACTCACGTGTAAACTAACTAAACAATAGGTTAATAATTATATATAATAGTCACGAGGGAACACCTTCCTGACGATTACAAACTTACTTTTAATTTACACACAAACATATTTTATCTCATTCTCAAACACGAATGAATCAAAAATAATCTTCATTCAAAATATAAGCTGTGATCAAATATTGTAATGTTTATTTTTTTAATATTTGTTTTTTTTTTCATAATTAAATAATGGTTTTGTACGTACAGTGAACTTGCGAAAGTACGTACCTAATTGCTTAGGGTTTGATGACACTATGTATAGGCGTGAGCAGATATGACTAGTTACCTAAATTATGAGACGACGTAGTTATTCCACAATGCTTACAGTCATTAGGAAATAACTTGCTTCAAACCTGAAACAACAATATTAATCTGTGTCTTTTTTTAATCTCTATTTTTTGTGTTAATCGCTTACAAATCAACTCAGTAATTCTATCTTTCAACAAATTTTTACTCCAATATTATTAAGATTCTTTTACATGCATAAAGTTTTCCCTCTCATCTCCCAATCCATGAATTCTCAACATTCCTCAAATTCCTAATTCCATAAAGGCCGGTAACGCACTTGTAACGCCTCTGGTGTTCCAGGTGTCCATGGGCGACGCCGATTGCTTACCATCAGGTGATCCGTCTGCTCGTTTACCGACTTATCCCATAAAAAGATAACCATTCCTCCTAAAAATCCAAAGCGTGGTCGTCTCTTAGCAATTTCTACATATAAACAAAACGGTCACTCAAACAACAAGGATTCACACAAATAAAATAAAGCCTACATAATACATCTATAACGGATAATAAAATACGAGGTATTGTACTAATATCGTACTGACCGCAAAAGATAATCTCACAATGCACAGTAAATAAACACATGTTGTAATTAAAATACACAATACGTTTACTATAAGGTCGAGCTTCGTAAACAAATGACGTACAATAATACATTTTTTCATTAAACTATAGGATTTGCGTGCAATGATCTAAATTAGCTACGTACTGAGTTGGGATCGGGTATAATATAAAGCTTTTCCTAATTGTCTTACTGTTATGGTAAGCAATCCACGAAAATATCAAAAACCCCAAAAGCATCGTAGATCGTTCCCAAAACCCTATACTAAGGTCTGCACTAGCAATAGCACTTTCATCAGCTAAAACCAAACTTCTCTATTGAAAAGTCGCAACTGAACTTAAAACCTTTTACTAAGTATACATCTTTAAACAAATACAAGGTAGGTACCTAACAAGAACATTTAAAAAAGGCGAACATAATGTCACTTAAAAATAATTGAAGCACCAAAATGTCAGTGGGTTATGTATGTGTGCGTGTGTAATGGGTTACCACGTTTCCATACTAAAGAAAATGACAGATGCCCTTCGCGTCTGTGTGTGTATGTTGTTCTGCGTGTAAGTCTGTAGTAACCAGGTGCCACAGTCGTTGTTTCAAGAGACTATATCTTTTTTTTTCAACGTCCTTGGTACCTAGGTATTACGTTTAAAGTAAACATAGGAAACTTTACAGTACTAACGATATGTACACAGTAGTACCTAAGTTGGATAGTAAGGCTTGGCGGCATAAACCACATCGGTCTGTTTGATCATACCACTCGTAAACTGAACTGAAAATGAAGTCAGTTTTCTTTCGTTTATTTGTCCTTTTTTCTCTTGAAGGGATTGGTAGACATGTACCCTTAAATTTCAACATTTTGTTATATCTAAAACTCTAGTCATGTATTCTAAAGGAAACAAAATTAATACTGTAAATGTATAGCCACTATCAGTATTTATTATGGCGACGCTATTCAAATACAATTAAACCTCGGAATCGTATAAAATGTTCTATCTTGTTTGTCTTGTAATATTTATATTGTTATTATGCATCGACGTGGAAGCTTGAGGACACGTCAAAACTTCCACGTTACTTCTAAATGATATTCAATACTTTATAATGCGGTGCTGGATCCTATCCCTTAGTTAGACTTAAAATATGGAGGCCACATCATCGCTTACCACCAGGCAAGATAATGGCCGTACGTCAACCTATGCAGTAAAAAAGGCCCACACTGCCTTAAAGGCTGGCAATGCACTCTAGTTACTCCTGTGGTGCAGATGTCCATGGCAACGCTGATCATTTACCATCAAGTGATAGATTTATATACTCGTCTTCAATTCCATAAAAATTGAACGTATCTTAAATAAACTAAATCTCTGTTCAATCTCTAAACCACACGAGGTGCTGTTTCCATGTTAGACTTCGCACGTGAACAAAGATGTTTATTTTTATCATAACAGACTTTTATCTTTACAAATGCAAGTATTTACGTAGTTTAACTAATTATAAAATGTGTTATCATTTAGTTTAACGTTTTGGATGTTTACAATAGCATGCAAATATCGACGTGGCCGTCAACTACGTGGAGCAGGAGATTTGTTTAACAATTATTTACTTTCTGAAGTCTTTAATAATTAAGAATTCTTTATTACATTTTCTCCCGAAAATTACACATATGCTGTTTGTCTTCATTTATGTTTCAACCATATAATTTCGAATGAGAACTTCGGAACTCTCCAATTTTAGTCTTCTTGGGAATCAAGCATGATCTTACCTCCTAAACCAACCGTTATCATTAAAATTATGCTCATAGTAACAACTTTCTTTCTCTTTGTGTCCAGCGAACATCGCGATTGCGTCAACGGGTTACTCCATGGGATGGACGTCTCCTGTAAACCTGAAACTTCAAGCTAACGACACCAGCAACCCTGTAGGCGCACCAGTCACCAAAGATCAAGAGGCATGGATCGGATCCCTGCTCACTGTGGGTGCTATTTTCGGTAAGTTCCTCATTTTCAAGGTCCTGTTACCAAAAATAAGTCTGAAGACAAGATGTGTTCACATACAAAATCTCTTAACTCAAGATGTGTTGCTCAAAGGCAATCTAGCAAATCTATCCACAGACACGTTGGCTTTTGGAAAATTGTTAAATTTGGGTCTAATCGCAAAGTTTATATAAAGAACTCTTTGGCATAACATTTAAGCACTGAGATCTATTAGCAAACTTTTAGCAGAATAATTACAATCTTATATTTAATGAGAAAGATAAAAGTTTCTCATTATTGTGAAAAATTTAAACAAGTCTTAATCCAATAAATTTCTGTTTATAGGCCCCTTCCTCGGCGGTTTTGCTGCATCAAAGATCGGTCGCAAATGGGGTCTTTTGAGTACTTCCATCCCTCTTTTCATTGGTTGGATCCTGATCGCTGCCACCAACAGCGTCGGCATGATCTACGGTGGTAGGATCTTCTGGGGTCTCGCCGTCGGTATGCTGTTTACCATCTCCCCCATGTACTGCGCAGAAATTGCTACGGTAAGAATTTTCTTTTATTAGATCTCAATACTCATCTTCTTGGCAATTTGGACATAGGGCATAAATGCCCTACTATGTCCAGGGTTGGTTGCAGCTTAAGGTACCTAATAGAAATGACAGCTGAAACATTTTTCAGTGGCAGCGACAAAATTTTTAGGTTTTGTTGGACATAACATCCGTTTTCTTCCTCTTCCCTCAGTCCGTGACAGATTGAAGTATTCTACAGAACTTAGAGATTTCCTCCAGGAACTTTAATATTGTTACAAAATATTTTAAACCTTATCTTCATATCTCCAGGATGACTCTCGTGGTGCCCTCGGTTCGTTCCTGCAAGCGTTCATCACGCTGGGTTACCTGCTGATCTACGGTATCGGACCCTATGTCTCCTACATGGTGATAGCTTACGTCGGTATCATCTTCACTGCTGTCTTTGTCCTCGGATTCTTCTTCATGCCTGAGTCTCCCTTCTACTACCTGGCTAAAGGTAAGCTTTATCATTTGAAAATATAATAAGAGCTTTATACTTACAATTTCTTTGCGTTGGTATACTTTCTATAAATGGTTCGAAATCTATATTCTGGATTTTGATTATTTATAGTTAACTGAATAGAGATTGAACTACAGTAAAATTTTCTTAGAAACGCAAGAATTCGATAAATAGCGATAAATTAGTTAAATCAGCGATAAATAGCGGTAAGGCATTTTGCTATAGAATAAATATAGGAGAATTAAATTATTTTGTGCTATTTCTAATACTAATATCATCACCCCAGGTGACAGGGAAGCAGCTGCCAACTGCTTGGCTAAGATCCGAGGTCGTTCCCACGCGGGCGTTCAGGATGAACTCGACAAAATGGCTGCTGATGTCACTGCCTCCATGGAGAAAACCGCAACGGTGAGGCTTTATAACATTATTTCAGGTACATTTACGTACCTTTCCGAGACTCAAGGTCTTCTCCTGGGTATAGTTCGTTCTTATGATGCTGGATAGCTTCCCGAATGTCTTATTTCATAACGTTAGCGCCTGTGTTTTAACACTTCCTTGCTTTTACCTGAAATATTTCTAATTTTGAATCACAACATTTACCATTCTCCCCTGACATCCGTTCAAAATCTATATTATGCCAATATTTCTTTAATAAAAGTAATATTTTTTATTCCAGGTCGCCGACGTGTTCCGCGGCAGTAACTTCAAAGCGTTCTACATCTCTTGCGCTCTAGTGTTCTTCCAGCAGTTCAGCGGTATCAACGCTGTGCTCTTCTACATGACCAATATCTTCGAAGCTGCCAACTCCAGCCTCGACTCCGCCGTCGCTACCATCATCATTGGTGTTGTACAGGTATAAATCTGATATTTTCGTTTTATACCTCTATATAGTTTCTTGATTGTTTTGGTTTGTAGAGTTACCTTTGGAATAACAGATAACATTATAATATTATGCGTCAAGTGATTTTGTTACTGAATTTGATCAAGTACAAAATGCACAAACGGGAAAGTTTTTCCCAAATCAAACTTAATAACCTATTAATGTATGTACCTATCCTCTTCTCCTCTGTTTAATTTATCCTCTTTGTTTATGCTCACAATAGTAATTTGTACGTTTTCCAGGTCATTGCATCTTGCATCACTCCTCTGGTAGTAGACCGACTGGGTCGTAGGATCCTGCTCCTCATCTCAGCTTCTGGAACTGCTATTGGTTTGGTAAGTGACTTAAAACTTTATCGACTCACTTTTGACAAATAAGACCTATTTGGAAATAGCCTTATATTTTTGTCTATTTTAATTATGATAAAAACGAAAACATCAAAATTTTTTATAGAAAATGTACCATTATTACCCTGTTTTTTAACCAATATAAAACTATCTCTTCATTTTTCCAGGGTCTTCTTGGCATGTTCTTCATCCTAGCAGACAAGGGTAGTCCAGTAGTGTCCAGCATTGGATTCCTTCCCATCCTGTCTCTTGTTCTCTTCATAGTGACTTACTGCTGGGGTCTGGGACCCTTGCCGTGGGCTGTCATGTCTGAACTGTTCCCCATTGAAGTAAAGGCCATCGCCTCACCTATTGCCACCGCCTTCTGCTGGGTCCTGTCCTTCTTGATCACCAGGTAAGATATTACTATTATTTTTTTGAGTTTTGTTAATACGCCTGTTGGACTTAGATGATAAATGAAATAAATAGAATTATTGCACTTTAAAGGAGTATTTCGGTTTGCTTTTTCGGGCTAGTTATACTCAGTTCCTAACCAAGGTTGATTATTAAAATTCTAAATGAAAAAGTATTCTCAGAAAATAAATTAGCGGTAAAAATGTCTATATCAAAAGTCTAAGTTATTCTAACCATTACACTGATAATGAAACCACCTTCAAAAAAAATTGTCATTATATCGCTTGTGGAACATTGCACTTAAATTTCTGTCTTCCCCTCCACAGATATTTCAGTGCCATCGCTACAGCCCTGGGTATGGGCGGTACGTTCTTCATCTTCGGCGCATGTTGTGTGGCTGCCTTCTTCTTCACTCTGTTCCTGGTGCCCGAGACCAAGGGCAAGAGCTTCCAGGAGATCCAGGACATTCTGTCTGGCAGGTGAGCAGACCTTCAATGATCATTTTATGGGGTTTGGAATAGTTTAAAAGCGATGGTGGACTTCTTTAAACCGACTTCGAAAAAAGGAGGTTGCAATTGTTAAATTTAGAAGGTTTGAGTATATTCATCAATCGATTTCAAAAAAAGAGGGGGTTGAAGTTGGTTTTTTAAACGTACTTTATAAAAGAATTTTAGGTAATTAGATCTAGTTTTTTAGTGATAATTGATATATGAGTAGACCTTGGCCTTTAGCCAAACGCCACTTTAGCGCTTGTCTACAGAGAGAGTAGAAATTAAAATGTATGGGTATACGTCAATTTCTTTAATTTGCAGAGGTGCACACAGAAGTAACACCCACATAACACTATTTATGTTATGAGTCCCATGTAATAGGGGGTGAGCCTATTGCCATATACCGCATTTCAAGACTCCGTGCTACTACTGAGATTTTTGTAATACTTTGCTCGACCCGGGAATCTAACCCGAGACCCTTGCCCGGTAGTCACAACTGGTTATAGTTATACTAATTTGTATTTTTGTTTGTCCACAGGCCGTCCAAGCTGGAGAAGGCATAAAGTGTATAATATTTTGTGTTATATCAATAATCGCTAGCTGTTAGTATTACGCTGCATCACATACACCGTAACAATCAGAATATTAGGGAAAATCGAATATTAAAATAAACGAATTACCGATTTTACTAACCGATTTTAACGAAAATCGGTTGCTGGAATGTGAATGGGAAAATAAAATAATGTTAAAGTTTGACGATTGTCCGAAAAATCGGTTGTGTCACATCCCTAGTTTCCGATTGTTACGGTTTTCATCTTGTTGATTGGAGATCAAATGTCTGCTTAATTTATTCCAGTGAAATTATATTTTATACGTATCTAGGTAATTTTAATGTTTGATCTCCAATTTGCAAGACATTTTTCAAGTAAAATGCTAGACAAAGTTTCTGGTCTTTCAAAATGGGAGGGGCCAGTAACTTTGCCACGCCTTATACTTTGGTTTTCAACGAATCAAAACATTTGGACCAATTTTTATATATATTTTAATGAGAATAGTAATTTATAACAGTTGTCCATTTAAGTATATCTTAATGTTCCTTAGTGTTGTTGGTCGATAATGATCAGAGCTGGCCATCCGCCATTTTAGGTGACATATTACATAATAATGGTAACACTGAAATATGAAATGTCAAATATCGGACCACCGATTATTTTTTGAACAGAAAATATAGAAGCTTGCAAATGCATGCATGAGAGATTCTCAAAAATTGTGATAAATAAAGATAAACATCAGATTTAACCTACAAATCTAACTTTGATAGAGGAGATAGTGTTGCTAACCTAAAAAAATGGATGCTAAAAAGCCAGTGTTGCCATTATCGTGTGTAATATTTTGTAAGTAATGATACAATCACATTGTAAGTACAAACTAGTGAAAGCAACGAGCGGACGGACGCAACTATTTGTGATAGTAGCTAATTATTTCTATTGTACATACCTATTTAATTACTTTTAATGTCTAATCATTATTTTGTTACGAATAAATTGTTTTATATTGTGTTATTTTTGTGTTTTATTTCATTTTACTAACTGAAATATTCAGTCCAACTGTTTTTCACAAACATAAGTACTTACTACCTTATAAAGATAGATCGATCGATTAGCGATGCTAATTGCAAGCTATGAGGCAAGTTAGTGCCACTACCAGTAATTGGCTAAACACTTACTATAAGAGGTCGGCTGAAATAAAGACAAAATCATTTTTTCAATTATACCAGTAAAAGGCACATTTTTATGGAATAGGACGGTTAACGAGCCGACGGATCATCCGATGGTAAGCAATCGGCGTCGCCAAAGGGTTTAAGTAGGTATAGGGGCGCCGTCCATGGACAACTGATATAGCCATAGATATAATAAAGAGGGTCCATGCCTTTTGAGGATTAGGAATTTGAGGATTGTTGGAGATTCAGGGATTCTCGGGACATTGAGAGGGGAATAATTGAGCCTCCAGTAACCTCACACGACGAAACATAACGCAAGAGTTGTTTCACCACCAAAGTCCAAAGAGTATGAAAAGTAGGTATATGTAGGAAAACTATACAAGGATTATATAAGGTCATACACTGGGTTAACACATTACCATTGTCGTTTTTCAAATAAAAGGCGTAAAGTAAATAATTGCTACTAGGTACTTTATAAATGCGTTACGCCTTATAATATAATTATAGCACACCTATCTATAACACACCAAAACATCATAAATTTGCCTTCTATTTCTTTAAAGGGTAGGAGGAAGGTTGGATGACAAGAGTCTCATAAATAAAATACTGTGCATATTTTTAAAATTAAAAATTGTACCTAGTGTTTAAAAATCGTAATTGAAAAACATAATAGACGCATTACTCGCCCATAGAATTTTCGAAAGTTCCCCTCGGTTTCCCTAGGATCCTATTATCAGATCCTGATCTCATGGAAATGGGACCATCTCGAGAGTATACCCTTTCAAACAAAACAAGAATTTTTAGAAATCGGTTTACAAATGGCAGAGTACTGCACAAACAAACAAAAAAAAATTACATTCAGCCGAACATAGTACCTCCTCCTTTCTTGAAGTCGGTAAAAACACAAAAATTACTCTTAGACCTCTTTAGCTAGCTAGGAGCTTAAATAACTTAATGCAGTATTTCAAAATCTATTTAGGTCCTAAGTAAAACTAACGAAATTTTCCTACCGTCTATGATTTTAAACGCTTCGTAAAGACATTTCTCTGATTGAGGGACTTTTTATACAACAAAAAAGCACACGGCCCAACTTATGGTAAGTTATCGCGGCCAATGAACGTTTCTAATACTAAAGCAAAATAGTAGGTACTATTACCTACTTTTGCAAGCATTCGTAGTACAGTTCCTTTTTATATTTGATGGGCCGACGTTCGGCCACTATCTCGTCTGATGGTAAGCCATGATGCGGCCTACGATGGAGCACGTCTGTCCAAAAGCAACCTATTCACTCGGACCTTGAAGACACCTAGGTTTATACCCTTCAGGAAACACAGACTCTGGCAAAGAAGTACGCACAAGGAAACTAAAAGTTCCCATGTTGTATTGTAATAGAATATAATAAAGCTTAGGCAGTGGCGAAACTGCAGGATGGCAAGTTGGTAAAATGCCATGGGTCCTTAGCTAGAAGGGGCCCCGTTCAGAGGTTTTCATCTGAACTTCTCTGTTTTATTGGAAACGGGGGCTCACCCGATGAATTTGCCACAGGTCCCGAAAGGTACGCCACCGAGCTTCAGCTTATATTGCTAATATTACTACACACAGGTCGTAATACTCCATGCTATTACTGACAGATTTGCAACGTGTAGATATACTAGTATCTAACACTTAACTTGGCCCTAGAATCGAACATAGACTTATTGCTCGATAGTCGCGCTAGTCAATAACGACATCATATCATAACATAAAGTGTAGGAGAGCCCTAGGCCATGCTTCGGCACGAATGGGTCGGCTCGGCCGTAGTGACACCTCACAGAAAGCCGACGTGACGCTTGCGTTGTTTTGTGGTGTGAGTGAGGTTCCCGAAGGCCCAATTAACTCCCACCTCCACACCTTCCCCAATCCCTGAATCCCTAACAATCCTCAATTTTCTAATCCCAAAAGGCTGGTAACGCACTTGCAATGTCTCTGGTGTTCCAGGTATCCATTAGCGACGCCGATTGCATACCATCAGTGATGCGTCTGCTCGTTTACCGGCTTATACCATAAAGAAAACATGCATACTCACAATTTAACTACCCAGAAACGATATAGGTGTCTAGTCTTGAGCACCTCCTCCGTTTTCATTCGTCGCGTCGTTTAATAAAAATACTTAAGTTTATGACACCAATTAGGAAATAGTAAATCTCAGATAAAACACAGCAGTGGCCTAACTAATCCGGCACTTATCAAACTTTATTATGGCAACACTGATTGCTTGTTTAATTATAGAGTAATCCTATATTCATGTATTTACTTTAAAGATAACGTTGTTAGCTCATATATTATTAACTTACGCAATATCAACGTGGAGGTTTTGACGTGGTTCCCATGTGCCTCCTGTTGGCAACTGGATCACATGACATCAGAAGAAGAAGGAAGAAAAACAGTATATTCACGTTATAGGACAATCAATACATAGTATAAAACAAAGTCGCTTTCGCTGTATGTCCGTATGTATGCTTAGACCTTTAAAACTACGCAACGGATTTTGATGCGGTTTTTTTTAATAGGTAGAGTGATACTTAAGGAAGGTTTATATCATGCATATTGCACCCGTGCGAAGCCGGGGCGGGTCGCTAGTAGTAGATAAATAAAAGCAAAAGCCCGTAACTGTCAACTGTTTTTTTGCCATACCTGTTTAAAAGCAAGTATAACAGCTCACACTTAGTTTTTAGTCAATTTTCCGTGGTGCTTGGCGACTGGGCTTCACCCAGTTTTACAGTCTCTTTTTTATGCCTTTAGGCTTAATTCATTCTGTCTCCTGCAGTAATTCACTGATTGAAGTGGAAACTATCGTTTTTTTTCTTCGTTTCTTATAATATCTTCTGATTCACTTTGTTCCGGGAACTAAGTCAGTCATTTGTGTCCCTGGGACGCGACTTCATTGTTCCGGTGTCTTCATGGATGTATACTTGTATCTACTGTAGATACTGGCTTACAGGAGTTGCAGCGGTTTTGGGTAGTAGTGGCGTGCTTGTCCCAATTAAAAAAAACTGTCAACTGTAAGACTATGAGCCTAGGTACTCGACATACGAGGGGTATGCTTGGCAAGCATGGCAAGGGTTGATAATCGCAGTAAAAGATTCACACTGCACTCCACGACTGAAATCGTTGACGTTGGTCTGTAAGCCGCAGGCTTGAAGTAGAACTGGGCTGGTCATGTTTGCCGCATGTCAGACGAGCGGTGGGCAAAACTTACTACTGAGTGAAGCCCACTCAACGTCAATAGACGTCGCGGTAGGCCCAAAAGGAGATGGCGGGACGAACTGGACATCTATGACAGAGAGAGGAGTGGAAGGAGGGTAGTAGATAGAGGGTAGGCCCTGGAGTCATCTCTGTCGGCTCTCAGGGCACCCGCGGTAAGACGCGGTGGTGACTAATGTTTTTATATGCCGTCACCCCATCATAGGGGCATGGCGGCGGTCTATAGATTAGTTAAAAACTGATTCTAAGGCTGCCTCGTTGGCCGTGTTGTCGCAAGTGCGATTGCCGGGCAAGGGGTCGATTTTTGGGTTCGATTCCCGGATCGGCAAAATATAGCTGGGTTTAAAAAAAAGTCTAAGTAGTAGCACGGAGTTTGGAATTGTGCCTGGTATATGGCAATCGGCTCACCCCCTATTACATGGAACTTATAACATAAATAGTGAAAAGAGAGTGTTACGTTGTAATGTCCACCCCTGCCTACCTTCGAATATAAAAGATGCGATGCCCCCTGTGGAGCTTAGTAGTTGATTGAATGATCGGTGGGATTACCTGGATTTGGCCTATTTATCTTTATACATGGATTGCTTTACCGGGAAACCATATTACCCATTCCTTACTGATTAAATATCTATCCAAAAGTTGTATGCTTTTAGTTCCTCGTAACTTTTAAATTTTTATGTGTACCTTGAATAAAATGTTTTACATTGTAATGTTTTCAATTTTTCAAGTGCATGTTGATGAACGTTATTGTTATATTTGATGGGCTGACGTTTCACCACTATCTCGTCTGATGGTAAGTCATGATGCGGCCTACGATGGAACACGTCTGCCCATAAGCAACCTATTCACTCGGGCCTTGAAGACACCCAAGGTATACCCTCCATGAAACACAGACTCTGGCAAAGAATTCCACTCTTTAGCAGTACGCATAAGGAACCTTGATGCGAAGCGCTTCGTGCGTGTGGGTGGGACATGCTACCATGAATCGGTGACGCTTCGCCGATTGTCTTGTGGAATGAAAAGGACTAGGGGGAATCAAGTTGTGCAATTCCCCCGCACACTCACCGAAATGCATCCGGTAGAAAACCGAAAGGCTTGCAATCTTACGCATGAACTGACTGTTCCATTGGAGCATTGGAATAAGAGAATATCAACTGCATCTTTACCTTCCCAATAGGGTGATTAGTGACATTATCAAACTCGCGGGAACCATTTCAAATGATGGATAGGCTCCACTGCCTTGGGTGAGGCGACAAGACGTGTACGACCTTATATTAACTAAAAACCACCTCATCGTGCTTCTAACAGAACCTCTGGTAACTCTTGCAGTTGACCGCAACCCCGGAACAGGTAGATTAACACCTGTGTTAGTATTACGTAAATTGTTTATTTGACTAGAGAACTAGAGCCTATAATCTCGTGTTAATGCGGAGATACAATCTAAACATCCCGTATCTCGGTGATAACTAAAATATGTACAAAGTAGTAGGTACAATGTCATACCAATATCGACGTGGAAGTTATAACGTGGCCATCATACAGCTTCTGTGTAGAGGTGTGTGTACACAGCAGGCCTTGATGGTTCGAGCCTTTTTATAGAGTAAGCGGCAATCGAGGAGACGCTATGGTAAACGATGAGCTCTGCTTAACTCGTCGAGTACCGGTTTTGTAGACACAATTATAGAACAATAGGTTGCGGTCACCGGTGACCGCTTGGTGTTTGACAGTTTAAGGACACCCGGAACGTTAGAAGAGCTACAAGTGAAAGTTGCAAATGAGCACTTTTCACAGAATTTCTATGTGAAATAAAAACGCGAAAACCCAGTAAAACGCAGTCGGACAAAACCGAGATAGGTACATCCAACCACCATAGTTTTTTACTTTTTTTAGTTGTGAACACTCAGAACTGTCTTCATAAGGGTTAAAGTTGGACAAAATTAAGTCTACCTCAATTGTGTATCGCTACAGAGATTTCAATTTCAGGCACAATTCTTTAAAGTTTAGCTTTGCAACACCCACGACACAAGAAAAATATTAATTATGCATCACCCAAAGGTCAGAATGGTAGAAAATGCCTACAGCATTAAGCCCACCTATTGTGTTACAGTTATAAGGGCATGAAGTTTAATAAATTAATTAATAATGTATGTACTTTAGGTGAAAGCATTGTCTGAATAAGACCTATAAACCTTAATAATTCTATATGAGAAAGCCATTAAAAATACCTAGGTATCTAATATTAATGAATGACATAATAGATTTTATCATAATTCCTGGTTGGCATTCACATGGCGATAATGTCTTAATTACTATATCTTAAGATCTTAATTATTGTTTATCTTTCACATCCACGTTGGAGGTTTTGACGTGGCCATCTATGAGCTACTGTACATTATGGAAAAGATTTATTTGAGGAGGGAAAATCATGTATTGTTTCCTGCCACCCCGGGTGAGGCGAGAGGTTGTGTGAGGATAGTACTGATTCAAAACTACCTCGTTCCTTCTCCAGCTTCGAGCCCCGGCAACCTGCGAGGTTGTTCACGGCCCGGTATGTGATAGAATCAAATGTGGTTCAGAAACAAAATAATTTTTACGGTGGTAGATCCTCGATTCTTTAAGCAACTTGAATAGTGAGAAGTACCATCTCTCACAGCACACCTTGCGTGAAGCAGATTTCACCAATAGATAGTGTTTTTGGGGAAAGTTTAAGCATATTTACAAAGTCGGTTTACAAGTTTAATCGACTCGACAAACACCTGAATGACCTTATTTAATGGGGGGGGGGATTATCGAATGACTTCTCCCACCTGGGTGAAGCGGGAGGGAGTGTCAGACTTACTGACTAAAAACCACCCCGTTCGTATCAGCCCTATTGGGCCCATCTGTGGTTGTCTGATGGCTCTTTGAGGCGCGCGCAGAACGCGACGCTCCGTACGTTCGGGTCTAGTTCTGGTCGGGCGGCGAGCTACCTGAATGACCTACCTGCCGGATTGAAGAACTACATCCAGAGACAAGATGCCCGTTGGTAACAGAGTGCCTCCACAGAGTGGGGAAACCCCTTGCATTGTTTAAATAACTCAACCAAATTACTCATAATTCTGGGTACTGGTAGCAGATGATGAAAAATAAGTTTAATAAAACACAGTTTAACATACAAATACTGTATTTCACAATAAAATCATAGTAACACATCAGTCTTACACTCATTGGATACATTCGAGACAAACACGTATTCGTTTACTTACTCTAAAATTAAATATACAGTTGTAAAGGATACTGGTAGCAAGAACATGTACACATTTTGCGGACAAACTTTCACCCAACTTTTTTCTACATTAAGATTAATATTTATTTTTAAACGAAGCTCTTATTATTTAATTAATATAATCATTTTTGCTAACTATAGAGTATTTTTTCTTAAAAAAAACGTCCCACACTAGGATTTCTCTTGTGTCATGGGTCAAACACACAAGTTCACATACACGATGACACCCAGACCAAAAACAACAATTTGTGGATCACACAAAGTGTTGTTCCGTGCGGGAATCGAACCCGCGACACGTTGCACAGCAGTGAGGCAGTCAAAAGGCAAAAATAAAATTACTTGTTATAGATTAAAGTCAGAAATAGCGCATAGTCTACTATTTCCACTACGTATACTAAAAAATTACGACTACGAATTTGGCATGTAGAATGTTAAAACAACGCATAATGTATACATATTCTTGTCAATCACTCTCCAGTATTACCAAGTAAAATTAGTAGTCAATTGATTTATAAGAACTATGTATAACATAAATTAAGAATGTCTGACTCATTGTAAACTATCAAATTGTCATTTGAACGTTAGTCATCACTTCATTTTCTAAACAGCCGAGCAATCACTCTTAATTTCATCATGAACTCCGGTCGAAGCTTGAAACTAATCAAGCGTCTTCGAAAAAATTACATAACGTATATAAGCCGTTAATATTATTTAAACTTAATAAATAAAATCTCGACGTGTATCATGAAGAGATTTGGTCAAATATTTTGTGAGCGAGGTACTAAGGAGACCGGAAAGCGTTTTTACATTAAAATAACCGAAATGAGACCGCATCCGGCTCTTTGATTGGCCGGCTCCAGTGAACCAGCCAATCAGAATGCCGAACGCGGTCTCGATTCGATTAATTTAATCAAGAAACAGACTCGTACTAAGGCCTCGATACATAAATAAATACATGGTCACATTAAAACTATGCTTGCATTATATAACTGTATATACAGACTACGTATAAAGCACATTCATATATGATGATGATATATACATAATATTCAAGCTTTTAACCCCACATGGGGGTAGACAGAAGTGCATTATTATGTATTGTATAATATGTTTTTCGTCGGTTATGTCACAATTTTGCTCTGATTTTAAATATCGCTTGCAAACTGTTTTACAAGTTTTTATTTCGTAGGATAATTAAATTCTGTTTCCATGTACATATTTCATATACGTGTATAATTACAAAGGGGTCACATATATGCCCAGTCTTTTACGCTTTTTTAAAATATAGAATCAAGATTTTAAAATTACAAACTCTGGACAGAATAAACTCAATTTCTCGCAATTGAGTATATTCGTTTAATTATCGAAATTTACTGAATTATTTTTTAATAATTTCAGATTCGATATAAACGGCTATCTCTTACTTCGAATTCTCAATTCGAATGTGTCAAAATGTTGAGTCGCAGGCTTTCATACATTTTTTTGAAGCTCAAGCTTTATGTTAATGCATTTTATTTTAAAATTCTACATTTATATTTGTTTATAGACAATTTATCTAATATTACTCTCCGATAATACAGAGCAGAGTTACAACAAACAAAAACTATTGAAAGCAAGCAAAAATCGATTTAAAACACAGTACAAATGAAAAACAATCATAAAACATCGCACCACAAGATTCATTTCAGTTTAACTCTTTTTATGAAGGCTTTGTTTCATTAGATTTAAAACTGTTTACTTATATCATCCATATTAGCTAAAACGTCACAAATGCTAGCCGCAAACAGTCTTATGTCTTCATTCTTCTTAATCCTAAGACTAGCGGAGTACAATTTCTTATACGTGTCTCTCATTTTTTCGTAATCCTTATTAGATTTCGATAAACAGTATTGAATAATACTTTTAAGTATAAAATGCAATCTAGATTCGTAGAGTGAGAGCAGATTATATTCACCTTTCATGCCTTTCTCATCCCCTTCTTCTGTTTTCTCCTTTTCTTCTGGGTCCTTCTCCTTTAAAACTTTCATTATAGAGTGCGACTGACGTAGGAGTTGGACTGCTGACTGAAGAGATTTGAGCTTCAGATTTGGTGATACTGTAAGGAAGATGAGTGTGATTAAATGTTGGTGTTATGAGTGAAATAAATGAGTGGTCATGAGTAAAAATTTGAGTGATGATGTAGTATGTGTGGACCCTCACATGGTTATGGAGTTGATGTTAATGTGGTAAAGAAATTATTATGAGTGAGAGCGAGTGAGTGACAGTGAGTAATTACGAGTGAGTAAGTGACAGTGAGTAATTACGAGTGAGTGAGTGACAGTGAGTAATTACGAGTGAGTAAGAGTCAGTTTCGATGTTGTGACAAAGGACAGCGAGTATGAGTGAGTTAGAACGAGTGAATAAGTATAAAATAGTGGCACATGTGAGTGAGTGAGTATGAGTGAGTATGAGTAAATGAGTTAGATAAGTGAGTATGTAACGTACGAGCAGCCTGTGCCTCGAGTAGGGCGACATGTTCCAGTTGCACCGTGAGGAACATGGCGCCGTCCTCCAACAGCGCGAACATGTTGCTCGCCTGCTCGTAGTAACTGCGGCACGCCACGAACAGCGTGCGGCGACGGGGACCTTCCTCTGACGTTAAGCTAAAAAAAATGTTTAGTTTATTCATTTCTAAAAATCTAGCCTCACATTAGAGTTCTCATCGGTCCATTGCTCATTTACCAACATACTTTTTTCAAGGATCATTTAATAAATTTATTTATTTTTAAACAGTCACTACGGTAGAAAACCCAATTACAGTAACTGACATATTTACAACAATAAAACATAAACAAAAGAAAAAGAAAAGCAAAACATAATTAAAACAGGAGTTGACACCATTCATAAGTTTCTCTCGCAGTACTTCAAGCATTCTGATAAAATCTCCTTCCATCCGTCCGCAAACAGATCACTAGTCGGATTGGAATCCAGGAGATCATTGAGCGCGGCCAGAGTGCGAGGAATAGGTGATGTAGCGCGTGCGAAGGTCGGACGGTCGAACGGACATGAGGGCACGGTAAACAGCCTGTGCTTTCTACCCCGGCAGTAATTATCTGGTACGTAACAGCACGGTAATGATTCCCGAAGATCTGAAGCATTAATAACGCTACGGAACGTTTTACAGGCTACCGCAAGTTGGTTTCTTACCCTCCTTACCTCTAGTGAGTTGTAACCAAGAATACTTAATAAAAATTTTGTCGGATAGAGGTAAGGATAATACCCGTGCAGTCACTTGTACAAGTTTCTAAGGAAAGCTTTTTGGACTTTCTCTAAGAGTAGCGCGTAGGTACTTCAATGTGGGTCCCACACACACGAAATGGTTTCCAACTTGCTACGAACCAGAGCATTAAATATGATCTTAATGGCATAAGCAGTGCTAAAATCACGACAATTACGCAAAACGAAACCTAACCTTTGGAAGGATTGCTTCGCTACTGTGGCTCTCAAGTCCTTCATGACGACTTTGTAATGCTGCTATTATTTAAACGTATTGGAAGTCAATTGGGTTCCGCTTTCGAAAACTTATCTTAGCCTAGCATTTGGATGAGTTCAGCTCCATCTTATTGTCTACGTTCCACCTGTATACTGCATCAATATCTTGCTGCAGTGTCAAGATGTCAAGTTCAGAGTTTATTTCTAAGTAAAGTTTCAAATCATCCGCATACAAAAGGCTTTTTGCCCGAAGTAGAATTGTCTCACTGAAATGTTTTTACCCAACACTAATTGAAACAGATATCCCGATCTGAAAGATCCGCGGCAAATAGACATAAATCAAATGCAAGTAATGACTCACCGATACTGCGAATGGTACAGGGACCCAAGTCGGTGGTATATCATTGCAGCTCGGAACTGGTACAGGTACTGTCTTGGCCCCGGACTTAGCGGACAGTGCTTCAGAGCGTGCTTTAGAGCATCTGATACTTCTGATACTTCCTGCAAGAAATAAAGAAAGATTTTTAAATATTTAGCAAGTTTTTCAATCTTAGTGTGTCTATGAGTGATATAGTGAATGAGTCAGTGGGTGGGTGAGTGAGGAGAGGGTAGGCGAGCGAATGAGTGAATGAGTGAGAAACATTGTGAGTAAATTACAGTATGTAGTGATAATACTTACAAAAGCCCTGTCGGTGGAGTCCTGCATGAGCACGGCGCGCGTGTAGACGTGGCAGGACAGTTCCCAGGCCACCAGGTCCCACACGGCGGTGGCGCCGCAAGTCTCGCGCGGGCCCAGCAATTGTAGCGCAGACAAGTACAGTTGCTCCGCCTCGGCGTACATGCGACGTTTCTCCGGCCTGGCGGCAAAAACAATTTTACGTCGTAATTCAATTCGTATTTAACCATTCAATCACTTACTAACTCTCACACGTACACTCTGGCTCACTGACTGACTCATCTACCTACTCACTCACCCACTTATCCAGTCACTCATTCATGCACTCACTCACTCATTCACTAACTCACTCACGCACTCACTCACTCACTCACTCACACTGACTCTTACTCACATACTTTAAACTTAATCATTCTTAGTCAATCACATCCATTCATTCTCAATACTGTCACTCATTTTGTTACATACTACGCAAGTAATTAAAAAGTAAGGTATCTTACGTGAATCCTGCCTGATCGCAATGCACCCGGTATCTTAAGTACCTTCCCTTATTACAGTACAGTAGTGCCAAGTTAGGAATATCATTAACTTGTCTAAATATCTCAGTGGCTTCGTCCAAACACTCGAGCGACTTGCGAGATATTGACACGAACTGTTTTAATAAGAGCTTAGCGCTTCGGGATTCTGGGTCCTCTTCTTCTGTGTATCTCATGTAGATTTCTGCGGATAAAGTATATGTTATTTCATAATAGTTTTGTATTCTAAGATCTATGTGATGGTCTGTAGGTCTATTTTGTAATATTAATGAGAAATTCAAACCTTCAAGATGACATACACAGAGACAGTTTCGAGAGCATACCTTTATATGTTTGCACGATAAAGGCCCTCCATCTAAAGACAGACAAAAATAGTCCGTATGTTTCCTTTTGAGTACTGTCATTATAGACACAGTTAAAGAACCATAGGTTGCGGTCACCGGTGTCCTCGCGGTGCTTGACAGTTTAATGTAAGTAAAACCTCAAAAAATGATACTTTTACAGACCGAAACTAATAGCTATACTTACGCTCGAATACTGAAAGGCTTCTCAACTTTTAAATTGTACTTAAATGTCGTGCCACAAAGAATTTGTGGTGATAGATACTTAAAAGCGCAGCTTAAATTAAGTGGCGTTTGAGTAATTGGACATTCATCTAAAATATGTGGATTGAGATCGATTTTTGTCTTTCGTGGACGCTCTATTGATTTTCTCCTATAAACCTAGGTCGACCGAGAGATTTGGTATTAAAACCTTATTAATTTTGGCTGTTAATTCTGTGTATTATCAATATAAGTAGAATCCAAAACGAATTACTTTCGGGGTCAGTTTTGTAACAAATTCTGTAATATTAATATAAATGTATTTAGGGCTTTGACTGCCGACACAAAACTGTTGAGGGTAAATCCTCCGCTAGCGTGACCCATACCTTGTCCCCCATGGCGTTCAAGGTGTTAATGTACTTACGTTGTCCATCATTCATATGCCTGACGGCGAGTTCGTTGCCGACGGACGCGAGACGACGCAGTAGCTCGGCGCGGCGCGGCGCGGGCACTGACGCCGCCGCGCGATACGCAGACATCGACATCAACATCGCGGACACCTCGCTTGACGGTAAGGATATGTCTATGCAACGAATAACACATTCAAATAACGGCATGAATGAATAGGAATTTTAGTTATTATTTTTGTTGGTTTGTCCTCATCATAGGTGACTTTCAGATTAACATATCTTTTGTACGCCTCCTAAGGATCGAAATCAAATCAAATCATGTTTATTTGCTCAAACATATGTGTACGTACTATAATAATCTAGATCATATAGTTTAATTCACCTATCTCTTGTTTAGTCGGCCTTATCGATACTCGAATATTTCAGCTACTATTGATTAACAGCAAAAACTTCATCTAAAAAGCTACATTTTACTTCTCTTTTTCTTTCTCCCCCTCGGTTCGAAAACCCAGTTTCTCAATAAAAAAATCCGTGGGTTTCTTTATTATTTTTTTTTGATTAGGTTATAAACTTATTTTATATTCTGTCCTACAAAGGATGACTGTTCCTGACGTCACATCGGGCTCACCACCATACGTGGCCCGCTGCTGCGATCGGCGGTCATTCATTCATTCCGGATCAATGTTTGAATATTCAAACATTCAAACATTAGTCCTTCCGGATCAATGTTTGAATATCAAGCTCCAGGTGTGCTACTGGTGGTCTTGAATAATAAAAGATGTCGGTATGATGAGAAGACTGTATTTAAATAGGTACTGATTGTAAGGGTCAACCGATATGTGCGCACGGCGTCGTGTCGGGCGAGCGAGTCAATGAATGACCGCCGATCGCAGCAACGGGCCACGTATGGTGGTGAGCCCGATGTGACGTCAGGAACAATGACACTTCTGACTATTCTTATATCACATGAAATGCTTGTTAAAATGGATGAAACAAGTAATCAATACTTAATGAAACAGATGAAACACCTTCTAAATTCTATTTAGCCTAACCCCAATTCTGACGACTATATGTTTATTTAAATAAAATAGAAAATAAATAAGTATACTCACCCAACTCAAACTCATCATTAACAGCATGTTCAACTTCCTCAGTCATATCATTTTCCAGCTCCAGTCGGATCTTAGCGTCAATGTCATGATCTGTACCAAACTGCTTCTTGAACTGCTCCAAACGGTGCCAGTTCTTGGACATTTGGAAGAAGTTGTCTCCGACACGGCCAAGCAGGCACCCAGGGTCAACAACCTTACTTTTAATTATCATATTCGATAATAACTTCTGGCATTTACTGGCCATGTCGATATATTTGAGAGAGAAGCCGTACTGTTCGTTCACATAGCTGTATTCAGCTAAGATGGCGTACGCGAGACATATTTTTTCATATAACAAAGTTTTTAAATGCAATTTCCACGCGAAATTATCATCTCGATTAGGCTCATGCCAGGTCGGGTAGACTTTCTTGTCTTTAAGTATCTGAATAGCGTTTTTGTCTACACTTGAAGCTTCTATCAAAAAGTTACCAGATTTGTCGCTTTGTTTCCTCTCGCGTTTCCGTCGTCGGCTGCGAGACGTGTGTTCCTTGGCTTCGGTCTTAGACTTAGAAATTGGTTCGTAACTCATTTTGATTGGTTCGTAAGGATTCGCCATTTTGGGGTGTTGTTCCTCTACTATTATTTGTTGTTTTATACGCTCGCGTTCTTCTTCCTGTGTGGGGGATGGGCGTATTAAAAATGTTTGATATTTTTATACATTACAGTTTTAAACATAATAACATAACATCACGCCTTTCATCCCCGAAGGGGTAGGCAGAGGCGCACGCAGAAGTAACACCCACCTTTCACTATCTATGTTATGAGTCCCATGTAATAGGGGGTGAGCCTATTGCCATATACTGGGCACATTTCCAGACTCCGTGCTACTACTGAGTAATTTTTTTTTAAAAAAAAAAACTACGTACGTAAAATTACAGTTTTAAACGAGTATTAAAAGAAATTTAAGGTATTTTTGTCCATCATGTAAAAATACAGGGGACGTATGTTTGTTTATGAAAACAGTTATATTCACAGTTTAAGGATATATTTACGTTATGGTTAAAATAAAAAGAGAACCACGTCTGTTTTTCCAGACGAATGTTCTGAGCGGAGAATTTGCCTACAAAAGTTATATATTATTTTTGTAAATATCTTTATTACGAGATGAAGCGAGAACACAAGACCGATCGAGATGGGGATCTGTGTTAATACCATCTGCCTCATCTAGGGGGCATAGGACTTTTAAGTCAAGTAAGTCATCTCTATTTCTTAAAACTGATGGTATACCACGGTCTCACAGAAAACCGACATGAAATAACGCTTACGTTGTGTTTCGTCGTGTGAGTGAGGCTACGGGAGGCCCAATTACGAACCCGACTGGGGAGGGGGGGGGGCTCCCCAGTCTCCCTAGTCTCCCCAATTCCCAAATCCTCCACAATCCTAAAACTCCCAATTCCCAAACGGCCGGTAACGCACTTGAAACGCCTTGGTGTTTCAGGTGTCCATGGGCGGCGACGACTGCTTACCATCAGGTGATCCGTCTGCTCGTTATCATAAAACAGCCTAGTGTACCTTAGACTTGTGTATGGTGACGTGGTGCAGTGCCCGCAGCCCCTTGAGCGCGTGCGCGAGGGCGCGGCCGCAGCGCTCCGGCGGCGCCGCGCCCTCCGCCGCGCCCTCCGCCGCGCCCTCCGCCGCGCCCACCGCCGCCTCGCCCGACGACCACTGCTTGCGCTCCTGGGGCCATGAGGGGTACGGGTAGTGCAATTAACCGCTTGAATGCATCGATATGAGATATAATCTATACCTATATGTACTATACTTATAATTATAATAAATCTGTAGAGAGGTCAATTCTGTAGATGAAACATATTTCCAAAATAACTATCAGGGGTGATTAGTGATCGATACTAATGCCAAAAATGCAATCAGTAAAATGTATGCCTGTCTGTCTGTTTGTCTGTATGTTCCTTATAGAAACAAAAACTACTCGACGGATTTTAACGAAACTCGGTACAATTATTCTTCATACTCCCGGGGAGATTATAGTATACTTACCATTATGCTACAAATAATAGAAGCAGAACAGTGAAAGGAAATGTTGGGAAAACGCGAGAAATAACTCCATTTGTTAAGCTTCCGTCGCGTGTGCGTAAGCCCTAATGGTTAAAATTATTACGTCTTGGTTTTGTACAATTCTATCGCAATGCGCCTAATATTACTTATGAATAACAATCGCACCCAAACCAAAACAACACTTATGAACTACAAAATACGTAACACTTTAGAATGTACTCACTTCAACAATATTCCGAACTTTGTCTCCTATATCTCTGAGTGCCAACCCTCGGATTTGGAGGGCAAGAGCCGATTCTCCTTCGGCGTCAGATACTTCCCCCTTTTCAGAACCCTCAATATTTTCAGATCCCTCCCCCTTTTCGGATCCTTCTCCTTTTTCAGATCCCTCAACATTTTCTGATCCGTCCCCTTTTTCAGATCCCTCTGCTTTTTCGGAACCCTCTCCCTTTTCTGGTACTTCCACGGTGTCCTCGGCGTGTTCCGAGCTAACGTCCTCTGCTTGGGGAGGATATAAATCTGGATCTTCACAATCTGAGTCTACACTCTCTTCTAGAAGATAGAAAGACAAAGTAAAATAAGAGTATAGATGTCAAGAAAGTTCAAAACAACCATCTAGTCCAATGAAATCTTTTGGAACATAAAAAAAGTATTCTCTGTTTCTGAAGTATAGATTATACAACGGTGATGTCATAGTATGTGCGTGCGAGTAATGCTCTTTAGAAAAATAACAAATCTAAGTTTAATATTAAATCAATTAAATACGAAAATCGGAACAAACAATTTGGAACCTAATGTAATAAAATGCTTATATTCACCTTTAAAATTAGGATTAGCAGGATTCGTAGTAGCGGGTACGTACAAATCAGCGAGCATATAGTGTGAAGACGCAATAATTTGAGGATACCTCTCTTCTTTCAGCAGTTCTATGACATGTTCGAGCAACTGACGGACATGTTTGGACCTGTTCGTCATTCGCATGTTCCTAGCTACTCGGTAGAGTAACATGGCTACCGGAGTAGTGAACGGATTGTCCATACTATCAGGACATAGAGACGTCAGGTCATATAGCTTGACTACATCATCATGAGGACCTTTAAACAGCCAGTAAGTGTGCCCAGCTTTGGTCGCATTAGACTTCAAGAAAGATAAGATATTCTGGGCAACATTTCTAATGACTTTGGGTGAAAATTTGGAGTGCTCCATATTAGGTAGCTCTTCGGTCTTCATGGGTTCATATTTCTGGACTATGCCGTCGAGATGGTAGCACATTAGTACTTCAGGGACGTTGCACATGAGGTTGTCGAGCCAGTAGTCAATGCCGGTGAGAACATTTATGGGCTCCCGCGTGTCCCTGAGCCTGAGACTGACGCATGGTCGGTCCTTGTCTCCGAAGATTGGTAGGTCACTGCCAATGAGCATGTGTATGTCTTCGAAGGTCCAGAGCACGTTGCGGTTGTATAAATGCTCATTTGGAGGCTCTTCTGCACGTGTCTCCGGTTCGGGTAGGAAAGGGCCTGCCGGGAAAATGTTGTAGTTGTGATTTTTTCAATGCTAATGATCCGTAAAATGATACTTCTAAACTGTGCTATGAAGCTTTTTAACTTGTTTATCTACCATATTTTTATCACAAGAAATTTCAGAGAAAATTACAATTTATAGATTGAAATCTAAAAATGAATAATTTTGTTTTTTTCCAAAGTATGCGCAAAGAGCATGCATTTTGCGCAAGTGCAAGTGCGCTAAACGACATATTTTCAATTTAGGTATTAAACTATAAACTAACAAGATAATTATTTTAGACATCTCTGACTTGACAGTGACAACAGTGAACGAAAACATCGTGAGGAAACCTGGGCTTATAATTTGTAATTATAAGTTTGAAATCGCCAAGCCATATTGAGCAAGCGTGGTGATTAATGCTCAACCCTTCTCCGTGAGAGAAGAGGCCTTTGATCAGCAGTGACTAATAGGCTGTAGAAGAAGTTAGTGCAAGTATTACGTTTGTCTGCGAGACACACGGAGGCCGCCATGCGCGGGAGCGGCTGTGTGGCGGCGCCGGGCGGGCCGCGCGGGCCGCGCGCCACGCTGTGCGACAGGAACTTCTGCGTCAGCTGCAGCGCCGAGCTCGGCGGGGACAGGCGCAGCGACATACGCTCCTGTACCGGGGATACATGTTGCCAATATATCAAGCGAAATATAATATACATTCATCTGAACTAAAACGTATGTTTAGAATATCTATTTCTATAACTTAAGTGTTAACAAACATATGTTTCGAGGATACCCGATTAATTTCGAGCGGCACTGAGATCTTAACAATAAGCTGCTATAAAATTTACTACTGAAAAATTAATACTACCGACTAGTAATGGTTCGAGAAACTGAATGTATAAAACACCATACCATAGCAAGCAATTTCCAAACTTATACCATTACAAATAGTTGTTAAATTAACATACCTGCTCAGACATTGTCTTCAAAATGTTCTCGTAGAAAAAATCCTTCAGCCAAGACCACTCGGACTTCATCAGGTAGTCGTACACGTCGAAATCGTCCAACAACAAAGTATTCTCGACGCGGTGCACCATCATACTCACCTGTGACAATCATTTACACAATTTTAAGTACACATACAAGCACATTGGTCGCCTGATGGTAAGCAATCAGAGCCGCTCAACAAAAGACAGGTACATTAACGGCATTTGGAGCAGGGATTAGGCCTCCAGTAATCTCACTTACACGAGAATACGCAAGCGTTGTTTCACGCCGGTTTTCTACTCAGCCGTTGTATCGCTACAGTAGAGCCGGCCCGGCAGTGTCGAAGCATGTCTCATGAGACTGGGCAAGCGACTACACCGCCACGTGGCGCCCGCGGTTTCATTCACTAACAACAATTGTATCGCAGCGATTCACATCGTAATTTTCTGCGTTGCGAGTTCGCATCGCATCGCAGTTTTGTGTACGAACACTATAATACCTTTGCAAATTCACTAAAACAACATATTAACACATTAATCTGTGTCTGAAGACCGTTAATGATACACGATAAGCAATCGGCGCCGCCTATATTTAAATAAAGGAATATGTTGGACCATTCAAGAGTGTAAACTGATACTTACAGTTCCATTGGGTTGGTATGGTAGTTTGAGCAATTTCTTGATGCACTCCGCACCTGATATCACGTCCACCTCCCCCACGCAGTCGGGGAACATGTGCGCCATCCTAAAGCTGTGAAAGACGAAATATTTTTTTTTCGGCTATTATTATGGTTTGTTAGATCTTGTGTTGTATACTGAACAAAGGGGTCCCGAATTCGTTTTCTAAGTTGGATTGCAATTGCCAATCAAAATCATTACAAATTATAATAGCGTCCCGCCCCGGCTTCGCACGGGTGCAATATGCATGTTATAATACATATAACACTTCCTTAAGAATAACTCTATCTATAAAAAAAACCGCATCTAAATCCGTTGAGTAGTTTTAAAGATCTAAGCATACATACACAGACAGATGGCGGATAGCGACTTTGTTTTAAAATAATAATATGTAGTGATACCTAAATCTTTTTCAAAAATCACATTACCTGTTGGCGAAAACCAAAACCATACAAAAATCTGTCAAGTTTATTATGTGCATATGAACTATACTACAATTATAAATCAATACATTACCTAGATAGCCCTGTGCCCCTGGTCAGTATCTGCTTTAGTCCATAAGAGTCAATAGCCGCCCCCCAGTTGGAGGGAGGCATGTTCAAGTCTGTGTTACATTGTAACCGGGCGTAGCCCACGGGGCTTTGGAATGCGGTGTACTTCACCACCGCTGTCGATTTGATACCCGGAGAGGGGCTGCGACTCTGGAAATTAATAATTAAATCTTTAGGTACACGGATAAAACAGCATTGGTAAAAGAACATAATATTACAAAACTATTGCATATGATTGCAATAGTTTTAGATGTCGTGGTGGCCCGGAGGTTTTAGACGCCCGCTTCTCCATGCATTCTTATGGCGTTACGTAACGGCAAGTAGTACCAATGTGACTTTTTCCGAGTTATATGTACTTTCTAAGATTATCTAGACACCACTAACAAACGGTGAAGGAAAACATCGTGAGGAAACCTGGGCTTATAATTTCTAATTATAAGTTTGTAAACGCCGACCCGCATTGAGCAAGGATATACTATAAGGATAGGCTATACCCTTCCTCGATAAATGGACTATCCAATACAAAAAGAATTATTCAATTCGAATCAGTAGTTTCGGAGATTAGCACATTCAAAGAAACAAACAAACAAAAAATCAAACTCTTCAGCTTTATAATATTAGTATAGATTTAATTCAGGCAGGCAGTTAAGACAACTGATACATGCCTGTATCATATTTTTCAATCAGTAGTTAATTCTATGTCATACACCTGCCAAGTCTGTTTTTGAACTGGTTAACATTCTGTGCAGCGATTACACCTTCTGGTAGCTTGTTCCATGCTCCGACCACGCAATTAGTTAGAAAGTATATATGACGGATATTTTTTGATAAGCTTTTACACAGCTTAAGATGGTGGCCTCTAAGATGAACATTGTCATTACATGAGAATAGTTAGTTGAAATCTTAATACTGTCATTTTGAACTTAATTATTACTTTCAAGCAAGTTTTTAAATTGATTTCTAACTAAGAAAAAGTGTGATAATAGATTTAAAACTCACAATAATAAACAGCATTACTTTTAACACATATATGTATTTTTAGTTACGAGTGACAATTTAGCAACAATAAAAATTATGATGACTACAAAAGGCTACAAAATAACATATAGTTACAACTGAAGAGCATTTTGTAGATCTTACAAGATCAAAGTTTATCAGGGAGACTTCAAAACATGTTTTTGAATAAAACCTCCATACATGAGTAGTTATAATGTTACATCTCTACTTTTTTATGTTAGTGTTGTTCTTTTTGACCATAGACACTACTGTTATTGTTTTTACTTAATTTATTTTTGGAAGAACCTCATAGAATCCATCAGAAAAACCAGTGCAAGACTGTATTGTAAACATATAAGTATGAATTAGTCCAATTGGCACTACCTACAATTTTTACAGATTGTTGAAAAAGGATGTGTACCTATTTGAAGGAATTAATCAGTGGGTGTTTTTTTTTTCAAACTGCCTCATCACCTGCTGTTAAATTATCATCTGTTGTTATACAAGACAAAATAAAAAAAAGGTCTTGCTTTGATCCGTGTTTTACAATAGATATTCTATTGTTAGGTTAAATTTAATGGAGAATTTAATGTATTGTGTGTATAAAACAATGTACCTATTAAAACATGGTTCTGTGATGCTGATAGAAAACTTACTCAACAGCAGTTAAAAAGGTCATAAACCTAGGCACAAACCACATTATTTTTTTTTTATTAATTTCTCAAAAATGGGGTAAATTTAAGTAGGTACTGTGTATTCCAATAATATAAACAAAGACATAAAAATAGAACTGACAAAAAAGTCGTCCTATGTGCAAAATTGTAACACTGCATAATATTTAAAATACCTACATATGGTTATTTACTAATAAGTATTACAAAAACCATTGAATAGAAAAATAATAATGTTGACTTTATACAAATTAAGAAGCAGTCCTATTATTTAAAATGTTATTATCATCAAGCAATGTTATATCATTATCTAAGGAGAGCATAAACAATAGAACTTAGAACCAGCTGTAAGTAAACAAGCCACAACAAGCCGCAACAAGCCGCAACATTTTTTTCACATCCATACTTAGTATTAGTATTTTTTGACTCATATATACCATTGCATCATAATTCATAAGACCAAAAATCAAAGGTCGTAATTATTCAAACGTTTTCTAAAAGTTAAATATCGATCGATTTAAAACTAGCAGAAAATTTCTAGAAAAAAAATCTACCTTCGTTCGCTTTTGATCTTCGTTTTCCAAGTCGTCCATTTGTGAGTTTATCTTAACACCTGAATAAAATTAGCCACAGAAGAGGATTGTATCCGCTTTCAACACTAATATAATTCAGTACTATAATCGTGGGTTTGGAATTTATTTATTCTTCTAAACAACCTCTGTCTCGAATCTTGATTCTTTAGTATCTAATAAGCACCTGAGAAAAAACCGGCCTTTGCTACCATGAAATAGAGGCTAGTTTCCAGTAGCAAATCTCAAAAAACACACCGCAGATGCTAATGTCAATGTTTTGTTAAATCAGTTGTCACTTAAAGCAAGTGTTGCCAATGAACGTAATTTTTTTTGTTTGTCTCCTTCAAGGATTTCTGTGTAAGTTTTCCCTGTTCAACCAACGATTTTTATAAATGAGTAAAAATAATTGATTTCAATGTTTCTACAATATAAAAGTGAATCATTCTTGAACGATATTGGTATGTCATTTCATTAGCATTAGACTTAATCACCTGATTATTTATTCATTATCATTATAAGTAATTAATAACACCTCAAAACATTAATCAATGCTTTGTAGCATTTTTTAGTTTATTCCTTATTTATCAGTCAAATAGTTCTCATTGAGCATAGAAAGCAGTAGAAAATCGCCTCTATTTCTGCTTCTGCTATAAAATCAATACAAAGTACACTAACGCCACGCCTGATTGCCAAATGACATAGTGCTAAAAACCATTGATCCGTTTGATCTCGGTGAGAGGCGCGTCGCGTTGAGTCAGTGTGCGGCCATCTTTGTCACATTTGACGTTTACGGCGGCGCTCGGCTTGGTGTTTTGTCTGCGTTGTTGAAATAGAATTATAATTTACTCCAATAAATAGTTTGTACTAGTGAAATACGTTTGTGGAAATATTTCTTGCATTTCATTTGTAAGTATTAACCTTAATATAGTTTTCTAAACCGTAATCTGTCAATATTTTACGCAACACGGACAATGTTAGGAAAATCAATTATGTTACAGGCTACGTAAGCAGCGGTTTTCGTGTTGTTTTATAGTATTTCTATCTAAGTAAATAATGTGATATATCAATTTTATTGCTTTTATTTATATTTTATTTTGATATAAACTGTATTATTTCTGTAAAATAGTAATATTCAAAAAACATACTAAACGGGGTCCGTTAGTTTGGGCACTTTGCTGCCGGCCGGCAACGTTCTACTTTCTAGTATCGCTAAAAAAATACCACGCGAAGTAATATACCGGTATGCCTAGAAAATCTGATGTTAGCTAGCTTTATTTTTGGTCTAGATTTTCAAGATGGCGAATCGTAGACCGCAAAGCAACGGTGGGCGTCGCATGGACTTCCAACGCAATGATCGCGGGAAGAACTTCGGGCGCAGCGGAGTGTCGCCGTGGCAGGGCAGTGGACCCGGCGGCGGCATGCCTAACTTGCTCCCGCTGTCGGGAGGCTCCACGGAGGCTACTCTGGCTCTAGCCAACAATATCATCAATCTGCTACAACCTCGTCAGAACCCTGTCCCTTCACTCCTCGATATGCCTATCCGACGTGATTTCGGACCCAACATGGGTCGGTATGATCGTGGTTATGGACCTACCAGGGTAAGTAGTACCATATTCTGAAAATGGTTTGGAAAGATATACAGCAGTAGGACTTCAGTTTAAATTATATTTTACAGTTTCAATGACCTATGCATCATCCAAATTTCTGTGATGTTATTCTGGTATTCTAAATACTCTGTCAGATTTGAAAATGTTAGATCTTGTGCAAACATTTCCTGCTTTAATGTTTAAATTATCGAGTACCTAATTCTTCCATTATTTTCATGCATGAGAAAATATAATTTACTGAGAGCCTCTTTACTGGATCCCAGAATCTTCAGTTATAGAGCAAATAATTTCATAATCACATTTTAATGACAAAACTGAAGTATTTCAAATTTCAGCATCTCTTCATGGCTCGTAGAGCCTGGCAGACTTCTTACTAACACACATGTTCTGATCAATTCCCTTTAGATGGGCAATCAAGGTAATTTCCGGCGTACGGGAACTTACAATCGCTCCGGTGAGCGTGTCAACAACAATCGTAAACCATATAGGCCCAATGATGGGCAAAGGCAACAAAACAAGAGTTCCCCGAAAAAGGAGGCCGATTCAAAGGCTAAACCTGTTAAGGAGAGGTAAGGAACCCTGAATGTTTCCTTCCGGTGGTGACACCGAATTTCTTGTGCCCCTGCTGGGGCCGAGCCTCACTGCAATAAGTCTCTGTTAACACTTTACGTTCACCGGCCTCTGAACTTTAGCCGAATTGGCATTACATTAGTTTCTGCCTCATTTGAGGTGCAAAGATATTTCTGTGACAAATCTCGAAAGTTTTGTTTTTATGTTCTGTGAAAAATTGTCTTCACCATAGGCAGGTATACCTAGATATCTGTCTATACTGTATGTTGGCTTGTTATTGGAATTTCATAACCCTGGGTGCACTGCCCTGTACTGGTTTGTGCACCTATTTTTATCTACTGTTTAATGCTACCTCCTATGGATTGTAATGGATTGATAAACATTAGCCATGTGTCACATTGGTAAGTGTGTAACAACATTGACTTTACTAATAAACAGAGAAACATCATTTCAAAACTTAGCATCTTTAACTAAAGGAAAGGAAGATCAAATCCGTACAGAGCAAGGCAATATATTTCATGGAAAAGGACAATTGAAGACATTACATTTATCAATCAGCAATCTTTATACAGTGGTCTCCAATACAGAACACAACACAACTCGCCTCCGCCTCCTTTTTAGTGTATTGCTAATTTATTATCTTAATAAAAGTGTGCTACAACCTGCATAGAAATTGTCCCATAAACAGGTTAAACTTAATTTCTATACTATTTGCCCTTTATTTACCAGCAAACCATCCCGCAGTGAAACCGAAGAAAAGAATGATGCTGCCCCAACTGAGCAAGACAAGGAAAAGGGTGAGGACACCAAGAAGGAGGCTCCGAAGACCAGATACGACGACATTAACCCTCAACTGTTGAAATGTCACATCTGTAACAAGAGCATGTGGGATGGCAGGTCCTTTGAGAACCATCTGAGCGGACGAGCTCATGCTATTATGATGACGAAGACTGCGGAGAGCTATGCGCTCACTGCTGATACCATGCGTCAGGAGTTTAAGGTAATATTCTTACTATTTTCCTTCTTAACAATTTACATCAAAATTTTGCATGCTCTCATGAGTCTCTGTCTGTTTGTATTAGATTATATTTTAAAATCTAATGAACTTACCTATCTTCTAAAGCTATACTGACTTTTTTGTGTACTCTTAGACTACAAATCACCTCACACTAGACTTTTAAATAGAACCATTTATCTCCTAGATCCGCGAGATGAAACGCACTCGCAAAGCAGGCCAGCAGCCCGCCCGCGACTTCTACTGCGCGATGTGTGACATGTACGCGGCCGACGGAGCCATCCATCGCACCACTGTCGGACATCGCAAGCTCAAGAAGTACCTGCACCCCACCTGCACATCCTGCCACAAGGAGATGCCCACCAGGATCGAGCTGGATGAGCATCGCCTTACTGCGGAGCATCTGAGGAATATGCAGGACAAGCAAGAGATTATTACCAAGCCTAAGCCTGAGGGTGAGTATTAGGAACAATATTCTTGGTTTTCTTGTCTTTAGTTATTGGGCAAAATATATTATCTTGAAATGAAATTAATTTTATTAGTCACAGTTAGTTGTTTATGCTCTGATATTATTAACATCAAATAAAGCCCTGCCATCTTTCTTTGTTTACAATAATTTCTTTATCTAGTCATTTTTATGTCAATATCAGTACTTTCTATTATATTAACAACTACTATAACTATTATGTTTCTGGTGTAGTGATGGTGATCTCGACCTTGAACATGGAGCAGCTGTACTTGCGCGAGGACAGGCAGCGTCGTCGCCGCAACGACGACAAGAACGGAACCGACAAGGATGGAGATGACGCTGAGGCCAAGGATGGAGAGGGAGAAAACCAGGTTTGTATACATCATGCATGATAAACACCCACAACAACATATGTGCCACATTATGCCACTTTACAATGTACCACCCACTTTTCACTATTTATGTTACGAGTCCCGTGTAATAGGGGGGAGTGAGTGTATTGCCATATACCATGCACAATTCCAATTGCTAATACTGAGAATTTTTAAAAAACCCAATAAATCTTTGTCCTACCCGGGAATCGAACCCGAGACTTTTTGCCTGGTAACTGGTGGTAGCACTTGCGACCACTCTGCCAACGTTGGCTTAGCTAGTCTGTTGATGATAGGTTGTTGGTACCAAAAATAATTGACTGAATGTTTCCAAAACTCACGCCTGTAATTTTTCGTGCTTTAATTCTGCATGAGATTGTCCATGATCGTTTGAATTACAGAGCAAAGTCAAAGTCAAAATCATTTATTTCAATTAGACCATGGAGGCACTTTTGTATGTCAAAATAAAATATTGTTAAAAATGTCCGCCTGTCGGTCAGTCCTCTAGTGAAGCTATTTGCTCGATCCAATGTGTAGATTCCTCTAGAGAAAAACGAGCACATGCCTCGAAATTATAGTCATACGGCCAACACTGGTTAATTTGAATTTTTTATAACATCTAGTATTCTTTACTCAGGAGGAAGCTAAGAATGAGGGAGAAGGTGAAGCAAAGCCCGAGGGTGATGCAGAAGAGAAGAAGTCCAAACTGGATAATGATAAGACTATCCTGGACTACAAGGAGGGCGATGACCTGACTGGAGCTACTCAGGATATGTTCCCGGCTTACAGGTGAGTTGGACTTGCAGGTTATTTACTACAGTATAACAAGCTGTGTTGGTGACGGTAGAGTATACATTTGTTTCTTTCCTCAAAAGGCCACTACAGAAAGAAACTTGCACGGTTCTCTCACATAATCTGTTATACATATTGTCTGGACTTTAAAAGAGACAGACCTCTAAGTTTGTTTGGGCATTTCTTCTCAGAGTAGTCAGTTAGGAAATGTCGACCTCATCGTTTGCTTGATAAAATTGACGTGTAAAAGTGCTGCCTATTTGCAGAAATAAATTCACTTGTTTCATTTGTCACCAAACCCCTGCTCTTCCCGCGGGTGTCATAATAACGAACTATAAGATTCTCTCGGTTCTCTGATAAACTTGTTAAAGGGTACAAATTGGGATTGATCTCCAACTTGACTGCCAAGCATGGATGTTAAGACTCAAGAGTTTGCCATAAAAAATTTTCCTTTAGAAAGAGATACTTGCTATTAACTAATATTTTCTTCTCTGCCTAACCTTTTGCGAAATTGATAACAATATGGAAATTACAATACGAGATCGAGAAAGATGGCAGTCTCTGAAGGAGGCCATCACCTCCGAGGTTCCCTACAACTAAACATTTAATATAAAACAATACTTTTTTGTAAATGCACATTTTTTTACATTGGAAAACATAAGGAATTTTTATTATTTTATTTTTAACATTTATTCTCCCCAACAGCACTGAACGTGGTGTGGGCGGTTCATTCCTGTCAGAATTCCGCTGCGTACAGTGCAGCCTCTGCCGCAAGTTGCTGGATACTGATGAGACCGCGCAGGTACATCTCCGCACCTGGAGACATCATCAACTGTTCACCAGGCTCTTGGCTGAGAAGAGCGGCACCCAAGTGGTAAGTTATAATGGATGGAAGTTCTTATGGATTGTTTTTACTTCATAGAGCGGCAAACGACGGATAATCTGTTGATAAACAATCGGCGCCGCCCATGAGCACTCGCAACACAAGAGTGTTAGTTGGGATTTTTTTTCAATGGGCTATCATTATTGAATCCACGCCATTCCTACTCCTGCACTTAGTACCGGACCCCCGGTAATCTTTTACGTTCTCCGCGGCTCCTATCGGCATCAACCCTATTATAGCTAACATTCTAGGTGGTCTGATGGCTCTTTGAGGTCGCGTCCGTACACTCGGGTATGGTTCTGGTCGGGCGGCGAGTTAAGACTTTTTGGTACTTAGGTATGGGATTGGTTCCAGTAACTCAACTTATAACAATAGAATACAACGCAAAAGCTCACGTTTCACGCTGGTTGTCTAATTAATCCTAACGAACATTTATCAAAGTCAAATAACTCGACTACAATGCATATTAATATCAAGTTATTTCTTTCAACATCTTCTGCCAAACCCGTACGTACCCGATAGCCGGAACATAGGTATAGATAAATACAGAGTGCATGATGTTATTATAATATGTTGGTAGGAGTTCAATTTGGTGATTTAATGTGACCGATAACATGCATTATAACTTTTAATAAACTGATAAGAAAATATATTGTTAACTGACTGATGAAAATTGCCTCGTGGATCGAGTGGTTGCTAGCTCGACCACTGTAATATATATATATTATAATTTAATACGTACGACAATTTTGGAGTCCTAAATAAGTTACCAAAACTGGGTGGTAAAATTTTTGTAGGTAATGGAATGTTATGTATATTAACTGTTGTAGCTGTTTCAAGTCTTGAAAATATCCATTGGAAGTTACTTTATTGTGTTGTCCTTCTTTGGTAATATCTGTTTGATTTTTTAATATATTTGTTGGCCCGACGTGTGACTATCTCGCCTGGTGGTAAGCGAGGACGCGGTCTATGTTGGAGCACGTCGCCCATAACCAACCTACAACCGTGTGCTTGTCATGGTTCATTCATAACCCTATTCACACATTATAACGGTCTTTATAAAACTCCAATTCTTTTTGTACACATTTTGAAGAATTAAGTATGTATACTATGTATTACTACTTATGTATTTTCCAAAAATGTTTTTTTATTATAATTTCTCGCACTGTTTTAATTAAATGTTTAGTTTATTACGACCTATTTTGCAATTATGCTTATGATTTAAACATTTGTCAGCAGGGAAATGAGACGAACAGTAACAAGAGGTCGTTGGATGCTGATGAAAACCCGGATGCTAAGCGTCGCAAGCTTGATGATGAAACTGAGCAGAACGGACACGATCATGATGATGAGAACAAGGGTAAGTATCCTTTACAAACAACATTACTACTGTTCACTTATATTGTATTAGCTTCTGCCGGCGACTTTGCCTGCGTTCCTAAGGGTAGCCTATGTATTATTACAAAATATAATCTACTCCTGTTCCTTTCATCTCGATCCCTTCAGCCGTTTTGATGTGCAGAAGTAACAAACATATCAAATTTCACATTTATAATAGTAGTAGCATTCTTAAATCATACATCATCATTGTTAATTTATTCAGTCTAGTTCCTATAAGTGTAACTATCTAAATCGAAATTGAAAAGTTGATATAACTTACTTCCTATAATATCATTATAGGTACCACTTTAGCTTTTGTTACATAATATATACTAGTTATCAATAAAAATAGTATTTATTACGCGATTCACCCAGACCCGTCTACTACCACCCATCACCCTATTCTACCTTCCCACTGACATATAAATACATTTCTAGAAGATGAAGTCCTGGATTCTGCTGCGGAGGACTCCATCCTGAACAAGGATGATGGTGAGGGTGGAGACGCTGGCGAGGACATGGATAACTGGGAGCAGACCGTCGATGAGATCTTGGAGGATGAGAATAATGGTAAGCTTTATATTTAATATGTATTACTTAAAAAAAAATATTAACACAAAATTAATCTGTAATTTGTATTCAACAAGTCACTATCGGACATCAAAAAATCGATAAAACTAACATGTTTAATGCAAATTATTATTTCATCAAAACTGATGATAATTTTTAAATTTTCATAGCACTTGAAAATGTTCACAAAGTTTTACATTTAAAATAACTTACCTCTTAGAATTTCTAAGATGGAATGTTATTTTATGCATGCGTGGTAGTGTACCACACCATCAAAAGGTTTTTCTACAAGTTTTCTAATCTATTTCAGACTCGGTACAAGAAGAGCAACCTGCACCAGAGCCACCAAAGCAGGAAGAACCAGTCAAACAGGAGCCAGAGAAGCCCAAGACTCCACCACCAGCACCACCAGCACCACCAGTAGTCCAGGCTGCCCCCGTCGAGAGGCCCCGGGGCTCACCACGCGGGCGCGGCCGCGGCAGGGGAAGGGGCCGTGGACGGTATTAGACCCATACAGCACTTAGTCATCACACAATCACTATTTGGGATGTTTCCATACATAAAAGTAACTGAAAATCGTCAATTACTACGCAAAAACTTCTCAGATATTGTTTCTTAAGTTAAAATCTATAATAGATATTAACGGTTTATCTGGATGAGAAAATATATTATAGTTTTTACATTTCTATAATGTTCATGCATAATAAATGTGTTGTCACAACATATGACATCCTACAAAAATTATATCAAAATGTCGATTTTACATTCTATAAATGCATTGCGGCTGGAAACATCCCTATTTATTATTTAAAACAATAAATTCTGAAAGAAAATAGCTGTTTTGTCAATGTCTTTTGATTTTGAGGCCTGGCAGGTCTTTATAAAGTTATTATAGGCCTTTTCTACAATACGTACATTATTTTGAAACAGGCCTATATAATTTAAATTACTCCATCAGCTGTATTATCAGTGTTGTGCATAGTTGTTTTATTTAGCTATTTTTCTACATCATAAGACATACAATATATTTGTATAACCGAATACTTATACCAAGATGTAAGTTTTAGATTTACCAATAGAAAAAACTGTATACATGATCATTTTACGTCATATTTATAAACTTGAACTGACTGAGTGTTCAGCCATGTCACTTAGATATTCACATTCAAGCAACATTAAACTTTTCATTGAACTCAATGACATTCTATTCTTTTGCTTAAACTTGAATACAAAGATGTAATTTCAACTTAATAATAGTAGTAATAGAAGTTGTTTTAGCTACTACAATAACTAAAATAATTACTATTTTGTGACACCACAGATTCTTGTTCATAGATATTACAGATTACATAATGATTATACTCCCAGGTATCTGAATATGACTTAAAAAGATTGTGTCCTTACAAGTAGGAAATAGAGTTATATTTACCCAGGTTTTGTGTGGTACCTTTATAATAAAGTATAGATACAGAATTCCTGACAGCTACTATATTATGAGTTGATTGTGCAATTCATAATTAATAATAATTATGTATATTATGTCCTTACACAAAAGTGTATAATTTACTTTATATTTATATAAACTTTACTATAGAATTTATGCCTAGGCTAGAATTCGACCTAATACTTACATAGATTTGTTTTCTAACTAAGTTGATCAGGAATATTATTGCATTTCACTATAAACTTCTGCAGAAATTATATTTTCAAAGTTTATTTATAACAACTTCTTAGGAGGTTGGCTTAGGACTGATTTATTATAAATTGAAAGCGAAAAAATTATTATAGTATTTTGAGTTTTATAGAATGGCCATTTATCCAGCTGTTTAGTTGTTAAAGGAGAGTTTACTTAAAACCCATTAATATAAGGTCTAAATCTACCAAGAAATTATTCCTGCAAATAGTATAATATCAACAGCAGGTCTAAACCAAAATATGTTAACTTTTAAGTCAAGTATAATCGTCAAAGTATGGTATGATTTGCTTACTTATAGTTCTTTATAACTATAGAACTAATTGTCTCTGCTCATTTATAATCTTTTGCTTAAAATTAGTGCACAATTTTAACATAGTAATTAACATGTCTAGCACATTAGGCAGAACAATTATAATCAAGACTCGATTCAATGTATCTCAAAATTATTTCAGTTTAATTATTAATAGGTTATAGTGTGAAAACTAGATATTTAGTGTAGGCTTGCATTTTCTACTATTAGAAAATAAAATATCTGTGACTTCCGCTTATTATTAGGTCTTGAAATTGAGTACTTTATCTTCTTACCATTTGTATGGTATTCTTTAGTGTATGTTATGGGGTAAAATACCCATTAAAACAAAAGGTAAACTTCCCAATATTTGGTTCAAAGCACAACTAAGTTCATATTGCAATTGTAATGAAGATTTCATAATCTAATAATTTGTTGTAAAATTTTTACATGGTTTAGTTGTGCTGTGGGTCCTTAATACTTCTTGTATATTTCTATATATCTCTAATGTCTGAGATTTCCTTTTTCTATATGTAATGTGATTATTCAAATAAAATAAATCAATAAAATGTCTGCCTGTTGTTTTTATTTTTATAATTATCCTTTTTTGCGTCAGTTACAGCTTACTAGCCATTTTAGATTATGCTACTACCATGACTAATCCAAATAAAAAAAAATGACTTAAATAAACTTGAAATGAAACCGTAGATCCCTTGCTGGACAATCACCTTCTCAACCATTGAGGATGACCACAATGTTGTGGTAAACTAATTATATTCTACTCTTGACCCATCAAGAAGAATATTCTTTAAAGATGAGAGCTTCAATGTATATTTCTGGCAAGATCGCATCCATCCTGTCATTCCTGTCCATAGTCAGTAAATGTCTAGAAAAGTAGTGAAAATGTTCTTTATTTTTTGGCAAAGAGATTGTGAGATATAGTAGTTTTTGAAATGTAATCTTTTGGCACCCGTGTGGATGTCATAACAAGAACTTTGAATAATACAAACAATTGTTCTGTTCACTAAATAATTATTACAATAATGAAACATGGTAATATTTTTAAAGTATTGTTGGGTTAAGCATAGTTACCTATTGCTTTTTGAATGCACTAAGTGCTTTTTACAACCAAGTCATAAATGTACCACAAGCTGTGCGTGAATATCTGCGTGTGTAAATGAATTGTTTTCTCAATGACTAAAGTAGTCATTATTAACTATTGTGAGACATACTAAATTTACTAAAGATCACGAGATACGTAAATATACTGAGAAAAACTACTAGTTTCGAACCTCAGAGGGGTTCTTCCTCATGAGCAGCGTGCGGGGCCGCGGCGATGTCGCGCAGCCTACTCTATATTCACGTGAGTAACTCGCGACTTTTAGTTTATGTGTTTACTTAACTTACTTTTTAGAGAAAAATAGTGAATAAAAATATTATAAATGAAACAATTCAAATGTAACTTAACTTATTTATTAAATTTAACCTACTAATTTATACATTTAACCTTATTTCTAAGTATAGTAGATGATCACATTATTTTGATCACAAAAATAATGCGAGCAATGCAATAATATTTAACTTCTCTTTCTTCAACGATTAGCACGTCTTACTTGACTTCTACTTTCTACTCCTCATCAATTTTAACATTAATTTGGTGTCGTTGATTTGTGTTTTCTGTCGTTTCTTCTTTTTCTCAACTGGTTTCACTTTAGGTTTGGGTGCATCCTTTACCTCGTTGTCCTTCTCATTTTCTAGTTTCTTTGGTGGTTTTAGAATTGCTTTCTTAGCTGTTACATTCTTCACGAGCACATTATCACCCTTAGTAACTGCTTCCTTTAACAAAACCTCTTTTTGAAACGTAACCTTCTTTTCAGCATTAATTTTCTTCTTCAATATTTTGTTCGATACATTTGGACTTGTAGCTACAATTTTCTGACTTTTAGCGACTTTGTTTAAAGCTTTGAATTTATTTTTGCCGAATTTAACCATTTTTACTCAGAAAAATACCACAATATCGCGAGGAAACAAACAACACAACACCACGAAAACAATTTGACATTAACAACCGAGTATCCGACAATGTGACTTTGACGTTGGTCGATGGCAGTGTCACTCTCTGTCACTGTCAGTTTCAATGGTACCTAAGCGTTTTGTTATTAGTGTAAGCTCACGGTTCTTCTCATCGCTTTTTTACTACTAAAAATAATAAAATTGTAATCTGGTACATAAAACAGAGTCTTGGTACGGTTTATAACTGAACATGTATTGGCTTCAATAATAGTGTCCTTATATTTGCTACTTCAACTTGCTCAACAGTTTGTTTAAAAGCTAAAGATGCTTACGATGATAAGAATCCGCCACTGTGTGTTGTACAGTTGTTAGTTAACATAAGATCAAGCCAATAAAACAAGAATCACTTTCTTCAATAATTTATTATTGTCATATCGTCTCTTTAAGACATTGCGCTTAACAGAAACATCGACACATATAACATTGATATACAAATACATGATTACTCTACGACAAACGTATTTAAATCTAAACATATAAATATTACAAAAGGAATGAGCAAAATAAATGCATTAAAAATTGCATCAACATTTCTGTACTTAAATCGAGCGCAACATTTCCTTACCTACCATTAAATTCACTTAAAAAAAATGTTGCTAGTACATAAAAATGGTACGTATTTATACGTTTTAGAGATTCTGTTCGTAAGGATTGTTCTTTGCGTTAAATTAAACATTCAAGTTATAAGATCTTTTTCCATTGCTTTCCTCAAAAGCAGCAATCAAAAGTTTATACAAAAGTACTAAAATTTTATATTATTCATTCAAGTTATATTATTTAAATTGGCCTAGAAGTGTGTGTGAACTACTATGATTAACAATTTGGTAACTTTTTATACATTCTGTGGCTTATTTGAAGCTAGTCAGGTACTAAGACCGGTTATAAAAGCAGTCAACATAATTATTATATTTGTTTACAAAAACTTTACAACTTTTACACCTAATCCGATATCTAGAGACTCTTTTTACAATGGTTCATATAATAATTTAAACATTTTATAACTTGTTAATTAATATTGAAAAAACTGTTGTTTAGGGAATGACGTGCAAAGATAGGCTAGTCTCAAATTTTCAAGGAGACACAGTCGCAAACTAATCATGCTATCAATGTTTCATAACTGAAATTGATAGAAATTGACGAAAATCTACATTAATTTTTTACATAATGAATGAACCATTGTACAGGAGAGTAAATAATATAATTATTTTCATAATATAAATTCTAAAATGGCTACTACACTTCGCTGTGGCAGTAGCAACTAGCAACTCGCAATGGAATGTTTTGAGTATGTTCCAAAGTTTTATATTTACAAAATTAAAAATATAATTTAACATCTAGACGAAGCGATGATTATAATTAATATTTATATGTATTACAACATCAAATGTTATGCCAACAATTCACACTAGACAATCAAACCACAAAGATATTTTGATTGTAAAATAACTAAAAATAGTTTTTCCACAATACATTGCATGCAATGACTTATTATATAAATTGATTTTAATATAATGTTTACATACTTACATGTCATATACATGCATATTATTATACATTCTACTTTTAAAGTCAAGCTATGATATTACTATTTTTTTAATTCTCTTTTTATTGAAAACTTATACAAAATATCCAAATATAAAACCTAAAGTTATTTCTACGAAAATCAAATTACATAAATGATTCTTTGGGAATGGCAACACTTTGTCCTTAGTTTAGCACAGCCATACTGACAAAATCAAACTGGTTTACAAAAAAATATAATTATTTAGTTTGTTATAAACTTATAATATAAATGTACCTATCAACTGATTGATATACTTAGAACAAGAACTATGTTTAAAAACACAATGTTATATTTTATACACTTCAGTATGATCTAACTTTGTAGAAAATAACTACTGATTAAAAACTCAAACAATCAGACTGTGTAGGTATATAGTTTTACAATTATTTTTAATTCTTATACAATTCTATCAAATAAAAGTAACACGAATAGGTATAATACGCAATAGCTTGCATAAAAACACGAGGTGTATAGTGTATCTATTGCTAAACATACCTAGCTGCAGAAACTTAGAAATCAAATGCCAAAATTGGAAACAAATGTTTTCAAGCTGAAATACTACAGTTTATAAACACCGCTCGTCTTTTCAACATTCAAAAACAATATTGACTATGCCTATAAATATATTTTTCTACATACATAGTACTAGATTTCAATAGATATAGCCATACAAAAGCTACTACTAACTTCGTTTAATAATAGACTACGTATTGTCCATTTCAAATACGTTTTTAGTAGTAAAAGTGTGAATGAATTTTGTTTTTTGTGGTCCCCCGCAAAAACAAAACGTGGGTAAATAATAATTATACCAAATATATTGTTATTATGGTCACCCTAAACTTTTCGCAAAAATGATTGGCGAAATATGGTTACACTTAAAATGATTTTGTTCATAATTACGTCTTTCGATAATCGAAAAATAAAAGATCTTTTTTTCAACCTAATTTTTGAATGTGATTCATGATTCGATTAAAAATGTAAAACAATATAAATTACAGCGAGCACGATAGTACATATGGCCAAGTCTATTTTAAACATTTATTTAAACGTTTTCTTATAATCCATTTGAAATATTATGAGAAGAAATTATCTGTATGAAAATACATATTTATTGTACTTTTACGTAATGTCTTACAACATAAAATTATA